TTTGTAATCACGGCTCTCTGCCTCCGCAGCCTCGCTCTTTGAAGGGCATCATACTCCCTCCCAACAGAGCCTGAGAAGAGAAATGCGGCTGGGAAGGTAAGTTAGGTCCAGAGAGTACGGACGCTTGGACGCTGGGAGGAAGAATTTTATAACGTTGAGATTGGTCCTTCCAGAATCATTCTATTGAGCGGGAGCTAAAGTGATGCCAGAGATGAAATCAGCCTGAGAGAGAGAAAGAGAGAGGACTGGCAATCATTAGAGGAAGCTCCCACTTAGGGAATTAAAGGAAGAACTAGGGAAGGAAACAGGAGGAGATAGGAGGAAAGCCAAGAGAAAAAGTATTTCAAGATGGTGGTGAAGAATATCAAATGCTCCAGAGAAATTAAAGAGGATGCAGCCTGGACAAGGTCGCTGGATGAAGTCACCTCACTGGAGATCCCAGGGAGGTCCGTGTCAAGAGAGCAATGAGCTCAGAAGCCTGGGAGACGCGGCTCTAAGAGAGTTCGTGGAGAAGTTGCTGAGGATGTCTCCGCGCCGAGTGTGGCGACCCTGGGTAAGGACGGGTTTCAAGGGGGTGGCGGGACACACAGGCTTTTCGGTGGGAGCCTATTTCTGGCAAAATGGACAGGCCCAGAGAAGATAATCAAGTGTCAATACATTCAGCAAGTACTTTGGCTGGAAAGGAGGAGAGATGAATTGCCTTTGGAAGTGAAGAAACAGAGAAGCTGGCTAGAGATGAGGGTGAGCTGAGAAATAAAATACAGTTACAAGCTTCAGCGAGCTAGGCAAATACTACTTTCTCCCAAATGTTCCTTGCATCGGCCAGGAGCTGCAGGCGTGTGACCCACAGATCAATCCAGGCTTTGGCTGTAGTCCTCCCCCCACCCCACACTGCCCCCCTCTTCCTCCCCCGCACTCAAACTCCTCCACCCCTTACTGTCCCCACAGGCAGAGGTGGGGACAGAACAGGGTCCACCCTGTGCTTGAAGGGGAGGCTCTGCCCCTTCCTAACTCTGGGGGGAGCATGTACCACAGCTTTCGTCCTTCCCCAAAGCACCATCACCAACGGCTCTGTTTTTCAGACACAGGAGAGTTGGCAGGGCTCAGGGAGAGAAAGGAATCAGGGAGAAGGGAAGTTAGGGTTTACAGGCTTCCCAGAGGTGGCTCATGTTCCACCGTTTTTTACAAAGCACCCCCTCACGTCGTAAAACCCAAAATGCCTACTTAGTTTGGGCCTCACTCCAGTTCTCGTCTGGGGCTGTCAAAAGATGGAAGAGATAGGAGACTATCTAGTCCCACTGAATGGCTTGGCTGAACAAAATAAAAGGAAAATCAACGGCATTTACGTGAACACAGCTACTACTTTCTCTGAGCGGCTGAGACAACTGGGACTCAGAGAGGCTTCTGGAGGCCACAGGGCAGTCAGAGGTCGAGCCAGAGGAGCACCTTTATTTCCTAACGGTTCGAGGCTCAGAGTAAAGATGCTGCTCTAATCCGGCCACTGGCACGCCCCTCCCCCCAGATCCGAAGGAAACTCGTGCCCCATCAGGAGTTTTAACCATCCACCTCTCGGGGGACTCAAGCATCGTCCCGTCAGCCAGTCTGTCTGCGGCGCCTATTGTCGCCTCGGAAGGGCATGGATTTCTCATCTCCCAGCAGAGCCTCTCCGTAATCCAAACACTCAGGCGGGTTTTAGCAGCTCAGCAAGTGCGGAGAGATGGAAACAGATAGTTTGAACTCTGAAGGGCACACTCATTTGGATAAATAAGAATCCTGGAGTCTGTGACATTTGAATTGGCCAAGGAGAAATAAGAACACGGCCCGTTTCCACCCTTCATTCCTTTCTCATCCCAGCCTGCAAATATCCTTTTGATTCTACTCTGGACGGTGTTTGTTTTCAGGAAGTTTTCCTCTTCCATTCTTATGTGTGTTCCTTCCTTTTCGGTTTTATAGGTACATGTAATATTTATGTGTCAGTGACCTTTCAAAGCAGCTTTAGAGATTGGCTGTTTACACTTAGGAATTTTCTTTAAGGTCTGCAAAGTCCTTTGTGCTTTTTCCAGGAAAGGCACTCAATAAGAACCAAAACAAACAACCGAATAGCTCACATTTGATTGGAGCCAAATCTCTCAGGAGCGTACGAAGAAAAAAGTTCCCATTTGTTTCTGCTGTTTCCTCCCCCGCCACCCAACCCAGTCAAATCTGCCGGAGCCCCTCCTGCCTCCACTTCGGGGCAGAACTACCTGTGAGATGTTGAAGGCTACACTGGAAGCCGTGTGTTGGAAACATCTTGATACTGGGAGATTCTGAAGGCATACTGCAGAAATGATGCAAACAAGACTCGCTTCGCCAAGCCTGTGGGAACATTTATCCCAGGATGTTTCACGTTGGTCCCTGTGGCCGTGGAGGATGAGGACCACTTTGGCTCTGGCCAAATTCCACACGAGAGTCTACCCCCGAGGCTTACAGCTCTAAGTTACCCAGGCCTCTGAAGGGTTTGTCACGAGCCAGGGTGATGCCCGTGGTTCGTGTTCAGCCCACACTGACCAAATGGGACCCTATTTAGCTGTTTGCCTGGCCTCCACTCCGTCTTCCTGGTATCATTTGTTCTGTGAAAAAGTTATCATGGGGTTGGGCGAGTGCAAGGGCTTTATCTGGAGTTGAAAAGTCCGGTATTCACCTTTTGTCTCTTTTAATTACTAGCTCTTCGACCTTGGGCGAGTTACTTAATCCGTTTGAGTCTTCATTACCCTGCTTGTACAAGAGTGATAATCATACCCATCTTCTATAACAGGTGTGAGATAATGAGCGTTAAAAACTCCCGGTATAGTTCTTGACAATTTCTCTCACTCGGCAAATAGTGGTTTGCTTGCTTTATGCCACAAAGCTCTCCGAGATCTTCCCATGGAAGATGCACAAAGCCCAGCTTCCTGCCTGCTGCAGAGCATGCGTTGCGAAAGAAACATCCACTGAAAATGAAATTGAGTTGCAGGTGAAGGCTGACCTACAACACTGATAATTTTCCCAAAGGAAAATGACTTTTCCGCTGGTTCCTGCCACAGCAATGAGGAGCCCACCTCTCCAGGATGGTGGCTACACAGTGACAGCTGTAACCAAACCAGGTCTCCCTCCCACTCACCATTCTGGGGTTTCTAAGCCTTTTTAACACTTAATAATAGAAATGACAGGGAAAGAGTCTCATAGAACTAAGACTATTGCACTAGAAGTTTAAAGTCATGGGATGTATAAGAGGTCAACTAGGTGATACTTCATGAATGTATAACAATATTAACCCTTCTGTTTTCTCCTACCGCCTTTGCAAAGATTAACTGTAAGACTGCATACACGCATGATGTACAAAAGCTGGCTAGCAAGCAGGTAGGATGTCAAAGGAGATGAACCTCCACCGCACTTGTTCCCCAAGCCGCTTAGTGAACTCCGGTTTCCAGGGTCTGTGGGTTTTGCTATGGTAAAAATTCTCACTGATGTGGTTGATGTGGTTCAGTTGGTTGAGCGTTGTACCATGCACCGAGAGGTTGCCAGTTCGATTCCGGGTCAGGGCACATGATAGAGTTGTGGGCTTGATCCCCAGTAGGGGGCACGCAGGAGGCAGCTGATCAATATTTGTGTCTCATCTATGTTTCTATCTCTCTCTCTCCCTCTCCCTTCCTCTTTCTAAATAAATAAATAAAAACGTAGTTTTTTTAAAATCACACTTATGAGAACAGTGGTTTTGCTTGGGACAGAATACTTAGGAACCTCAAAACCTTACCAACACATATGACTTTTCAATAGAAACATATTTTAAGACTTTTTAAATTTAAAAAAAAATCCAATTACAAAGCAAAATAAAATCAGATAAGGGCTATGTTTCAGTCACACGTATGCTACTCTACTTATTGGGTAAAAGGATTAGTTAATCTGAGAGTGAAGACTTTTTCCCCCTAAAATTTTATTAAAAGTGATGCATCTTCTCTTTATAAGGGTCAGAAAATAATATGGCCACCAACGCACAGAGAAGATAATTATTTGTCAAATGAATGAATGAGTGCTCCTTTGAAGCTGGAATAAGAACACAGGCTTTTAGATGCAGAATCTGAAATTATTTAAGTGACACCTCTTTGCTGAGAGGGGCTGGCTTTCTGGAGAGAAAGCTTCTGTTGTGTCTCAGCTCCAGGGTGAGGGGCCTGTGTTCCATGTAAGGTAAGGGCCAGTGACCCGGGTTCCTTGCCAGGACCCCAAGCAACCCCTATGTTGAAAGACGTGGAGGACAAACAAAAAGTGGGTTGCTTTCGCACAGAGAGGGGAAGGCTAAGGTGGACTCTCAGAAAACAACATTTGAAGACTTCAGGAAAGACAACATTTCTCTTAAAATACACATAAACCAAAGAGAAAAGGGATTTAGATTAGGCACAGAAAGGATATTTTGGTTGTGGTGGTGGTGAAAGACACAAAACTTGCCATTTCTAAGTGTGCAGAGCAGTGGTGATGGGTACATGTGCAACCAAAGGGGAAGACGGTGATGTTAGTGAATAATGCTTGCTTGCTCTCCTCCCTCTCTCTCTCTCTCTCTCTCTCTCTCTATCTATCTATCTCTATCTCTATCTCTATCTCTATCTCTATCTCTATCTCTATCTCTATCTCTATCTCTATCTCTATCTCTATCTCTATTTCTTTCAGCTTGATTGGAAGGCTATGGGATTTCCTTCTTGGAAATTTTGAAAAATAGCTCACATTCTGCATCTCGAGGGGCTGGCAGAGATGATCTCCTAAGGATTCCTGCGGGGCACCCCGTGTGGCAGGCAGTGATGTGCCCCAGCACTGCTGTGGACACAGATGACAGCGTGTTCAGGCTGTCTTGGACCGAGTCAGGGACACATGGTTATCTGAAAGCAAACTCGAGCCCTTGTGCAGCTGCTTCTGCACGCTTTGATTTCTGCCCTGGGAGGGTTACGTGTGCTCTGCTCTGCAGCCCACGGAAGGAATGCAGCTCACGTTACCTTGGGCTTATATGCGTTCAGCATCGACATCTCGACGTTCTGGCCTCTGACGTGCTTCGGCTGCCTCTGGACCGGCGGCGAGGACGACTTCTGATTATTGCGGCAGACACAGATGAAGAAGAAGAGTAAAGCGATGGCCAGAGGAATAGCAACACTCGGCACCAGTATGTACAGGATTTCCATTTTATTCTTGTCCTTGGAATCCTTCGAATCTGGGTGCAGAAACAAAAAAACAAGACCAAGAGTTACACGAGTTCAAATACCATGTATAACATTACACTGCACAGTTTAAAATGACCTCCTATTCTTTTATACACACAAGCCCACTGAGAGAGAAAAAAGAACCATTGCTTATTACAATTTGTTTCTATCAAACCTTCAACATAATTTATTGAAGTTTAAAAGTTTAAAGTTCAAATGTTTAAAAATTGCAGAGGGAAATTATAAAGACCTCGCATGTGTGTGGGTCCCCCTCTGATGTTGCCTCTCTTTAGGGGCAGACCGGCATTTCTCTAACACCTTAAAAGTTAAACGCCATGTGAATGGACTGTATACATCCAACGGCATTAATGTGACTGCTGGGCTCTTCTTCCATTGGCCGCCAGCCCAGATCACACACCACAACCGAATGTTCCAGAAATCATGCCATTGTCTGGGCTTGTTTGGACATACAGGGCCAGTCCTGCATCTTCCAGAATCAACATCACTAAAGAATCCGGGCCCCAGTGCCTGCAAACCAACGGCCTGAGAATATGGGGGCCTGAAGTCAGGGCCAACTCAGTTTCTGACGAGCTGTGTGACCTTGAGCAAATCATTCACCTCTCTGGGCCTCTCTTTCCTCATCCACAAAAGTCAAGTATCTATTTTGAATAGTGTCCATAATTCCCTCCAGCGCAGCACCACTGTATAACTTGACACTTTTTTGAAACCCAAGAATTCTTCTTAAATGGTTTCATATGAACTTAATAATTATGAGTGCTAACACTTTGAAGTATATTTTTGAAATCTTATATATCCACTGTACTTACCATTGCTTGGAAAAGAATATAATACAGATAGAAGGACCTTAGGCATACAATTCTTTTTATTGGTTTGAGCCTGGCCTTTAAATCTAAGCACTTGGGGCATATATTATCATCAATAAATTATCTGACTGGTAAAACAAGCAAGAATTATGAGACAGTATTTAGAGGGGTTGTGTAATATATGCCCTGATCATCAAAAACCTCATCAAGTATCTTAAAAAAGAAAAAAACACACCCAGACTCAGATTGACACAAGATTCAGAGATGAGTATTTACTTAATAAAAGAATTAACCATGCATCCATTCACTCATCCTCCCACTTGTTCAGTAAGACAATAAACAAAACAACTATTGACAAGCACCATTCTAGGGTCTGGGAATATAAAATTAAATGTGACATGTCCTTTGCTCTTAAGGAGCTCATGGTCTTGTAAGGAAAGGAGAGAAAAGACAATTACAATGTGTTGTTGGAGATTCTATGAGTAAAGTATGAATACAGTGGTGAAGAGACCCCAAAAGCCCCTTTAAATAGTGAGCTTCCCTAGTACATGTAAATGGGCATATACTACACATAGTTTCTACTTCCACGTACCTTCTTTGGGAGCCTGTGGTTCAGTGAGAGACAGAGCCATAATTAATCACATTGTCTTCTCCCCACATGAACAGACTCAAGACAAGAAGTTAAGAAAGGGCACCCAAATCTGGGTGATGGGACTGTACTGTATGGGTTAACCCTCAGAGGGCCTTGGGGAGGGGTAAAAATTATGCTTATTGAGTATAATAAAAATAAGCTTTAATATGTATTAAGTATTTTCTACTGGCACAAAATCATATCAGTTATCATCACTAACAGGGGCCAGGTACTGTTCTAAGCACTTTTCTTTTTTTTTTTATCCTCATCCGAGGACATTTTTCCATTTTTTTTGTACAGACAGAGTGGGAGGGAGAGAGAGAGAGGGAAACATCGATGTGAAAGGGCCACATCGAGTGGCTGCCACCCGCACGACCAACCAGGGCCGGGGACAAACTGCAACCGAGGTACATGCCCTTAGTGGGAACCGAACCCGGGTCTCTCCAGACCGCAGGCGGACGCTCTAACCACTGAGCCAAACCGGCCAGGGCCTAAGCACTTTTCATTAACTCACTCCTTTCTTCCTCACCTCCATTTTTATAGGTGAGGAAGCTGAAGGACAGAGTGGTTGAGGAACTTGCCCAAGGACATGCAGCTAGTGATTCAAACACTGGGACTCCTCCCCTGCTGGTCTGGCTTCCCGCCTCCTGCTCTAGCTACTACACCACACTGCCAGTAATTTGAGAATGGCTGCTGTTTCGCACCTATTTTCTCATGGTAGGATTTCTCTTGCTTCATGGAAGTAAAAAAGATGAGGGAAGTCTGAAATGTGGGGAATAATACTGAAGCTTTGCCAGACAGGCTACTTTTGAACTCCCCACTTTATACACTAGCAGGTAAACATATAAGCCAGGCATCTCTGGGAGGCTATTCTAATGATTCCAGTCTTTAGGAACTGGGTCTCAGGTTCTCTAGTGACAATTGTGTCGGCATGTCTGTGGGTGGGTAGATAGAAAGCACATGGCAGAGTGTGTACCACAGGGCCTACCAGATAGATGATTGATAGATAGAGAGATAGATAGATAGACAGACAGATAGACAGACAGACAGAACTCTATCATCTATCCAGCTCTCCATCGATCCATCCACATTAGAAACAGCAGAGCAGAATAAAGGAAGTGTATGTTATAGAGTCCGAAACTCTGCACATTGCCTCTGTAATTACCTGTGTAACCTCTGTAGGCACTTAGCCACTCCACGTAAATTCACAGAATTGCTATAAACAATAAATGAAGTAACGTGGAAAGTGTCTATTCTAGCACCACATACAAGTCAGTCACTCAAGACTCAGGGATAAAAGCTTTTGGACTGGGAATTCTAGATAACACGAAGCAAGAACAGCCTCTCTGACCTCCGTCTCCTCGTTTGTTCAGTCTTATCTGGTTCCCATGAGAGATAATGTTCATGGAAGAACCAAGGAAAATTGAAAACTGCCACACAGTTGTTGGATGCTAGGATTACTATTAAATTATAAAACACTTTCATATTTCTCAGTATCACAAAGGGAGAAATCCCTCCTGTTATTCTTGGATTTTCAGTGAAATCATTATGAGGGTGGGGATTACAAAGGAATGAGGCTCATTTGGTACTAACGCTCATGCTAGTCACTTCTCTGGCTCAGATTCTTAGTGACAAGAGAAAGCGGGCTCTCACCGGGCTGGCACACAAGGAGTCTACTCTGCACATCCCGTATCAGATCATCCACAGAGCACCTTCGATTGCAAATGAGAGGTCTGGGACGAATCCCCCTGTAGGTCTGCCGCAGAACAAACTTCAAGAAGCTACATTCTTTAAACACAGTCAAACTTGGCTCCTGCAGATTACTCTGAGGATGTGGAAGCGAGCGCACTGTCTTCTTGCCAAGTGAAATAATCAAGCAGGACACTACGTGGTCATGTTGGACGTGACAGAAAGCAAAGTCAGGCTTATGGTGAGTCGACCCTACAACAGGCTTCCTTTCCCACACCGCTCTCTGCATTTGGCCAGAGCGGGAGTCAGTGTCTGGCTCAAAACCCCCCACAAAAACCTTTATATAGAAACATTCCTCAGAACAACTAATGGTACTCACAGGAAATGAGAAAACTAACATGTGCCCGGCATCTTTTAAATGTCCTAGCATTTTTAGCCATCATGTTAACCCAGTGCTTGGTGTCATCTTGATTTTACACACAGAGAAACTGAGGCCGAGGAAGGATAATGTGACACAGCGAGAACGAGGTAGAGGCTGAGTCGGAACGGGGGCCTGTCTGCCCTCAACAGTCCCATGCTTCACAAATTATATGACTAATAAAAGGTAAAACACTACATGGCGTTGTTTTTCATCGTCTCCTCTTAACAGTGCAGGGTTCCTCTCACTGAGGGCTAATACCCAGCAGAAAGCATACCTACTATTAAAACGAATCCCACGAGAACAATGGACATTATTCTTACTGTGCACTTTAAGGGTAATGGACTCTTCCAATGCCTTACACAGAAAATTAGAATGGTGAAGATTTTTGATGCTTTGGAATAACTGCTTAACTTTAAATGCACCTATTAGTTACATCAAGTTCAATGCTTGGGATTTTTGGAAACCAACAATTTAGTCTGGATCACACGATACATTTCCTTTTACAAATCAGTATGGTATCACAGTTCACATCTGACATTCCTGTTTTATTTTTACAATGATATTCAATAATTTGATTAGTAATTAAATATAATAGAGAAAATACCCCTTTCTTATCCTGGGCTTAAAGCAAGGTACACATGATTTTTCATTCAAGAGGTACTTCCATAGACTGAAATATCATCTGGGATATTACTTTGGAGTTAAAACAACAAAATGTTAAGATCTGCGGTATGGCAGAGGTGGGAAGGAATGTTACAGAATCTTAGAATTCAAAGGAAATTAAATAAGTTAAACTATGATCTTCTCTGAAAAAAATTTAAAAACCATAGAAAACAAATAGGCATTGCTACCATGATTAGTTGGAAGCTATAAAATATGTGGGTCATTAGTAGACAGAGGCCTGTACAGTGGTATTTTTAGGCAGATGCCCGGAAGCCAAAGGAGAATGAGGACTTCAGTAGACATGCTGGGCCCACCATTCATTCTCCTGACTTCATGTTGGGAAGTACTAAGCAGGCGATTGGCTGCCTTAAGTATTCTCAAACGAATTCTTGAAAGTAAGACGATGAGCCCTGGCCAGTTTGGTTCAGCAGTTAGAACATTGGCTCGTGGACCAAAGGGTCTCAGGGGTTTTTGTTTGTTTGTTTGTTTTTTCTTTCTTTCTTTTTTTAAATTCTCATCCGAGGATATTTTTCCTTTTATCTTCAGATAGAGTGGGAGGGGGAGAGAGAGAGAGGGAGAGAGACATCGATGTGAGAGGGACACATCAACTGGCTGCCTCCTGTACAACCCCCACAAGGGCTGCAGACTGAACTGCAACTGAGGTACATGCCCTTGACCGGAATCGAACCTGCGACTGTTTGGTCCACGGGCCAATGCTCTAACCACTGAGCAAAACCAGCCAGGGCGGATCTTAGATTTGATTTCCTGTCAAGGGCACATACC